CTGTTCCAACTGTTGACGACCATACTAGGCATATACGTGCTATATGTAGCTTTCATTCCATTTAAAAAAAACTGAGTACCAATTCATCACTTACATTAGTCAATACACCTATGTAAGGGCACCTCCAACATGGCGACGCAATTCGTTTGCTCGTGTCTGTTTTGGTCCGCGTGGATAGAAACCACGACCCAACGTTGTAGTTTCGTGTAGGTGTGGACGCAAATCCGTCTTAAATTTGGACCGGGTTTGCGTCCACCAAGACAGGAAACGGACGCGTCATGCGTTTGCTCGGTGTTTTCCTGGGCCCACACGACAGCCACCCAACGACCACGAGCTAGTCCTTTTGAACGGCACGCTGCAGAGGGTGGGCACTTTTCTTCCCCACTTTGCCCCCTTACCCCTCCTGACGCCCGACAGTCAAACCCTAGGCCGCCGCCACCCATCGCCAATGCAAATGTCGTGGAAGTGGATCCCTGGGATGCATGACCACGAGGCCGGCTCCTCGATGGGGCGGCGCCGTGTGGCCTTGGTCATTGAGACGCCGCCGGGGGCTGCATCGCACATGCGCGAGCGCACGTACGTCCCCATCACGCAGTTTCGACATTATTGGGAGCAGGCCATCCATGTGCCATGGCTGGACGTACACCTGCCAAACGGCCGGCATTTGAATCCAGAAAGGGTTACAGTGCCGGTCGTTCTGGCCTCCGGTCACGCGCGGGCGGAGGAGATCCGTCGTCGTCAGGATCTACTGCCCACCAAGTTCGTCCACGACCGGCCATTTACCAAGGACTCCCCTACTAAGACATGTGGTTCTACAACGAGCACGACCAGCCCCGCCGCAACATGTGCTCCTGCGCCGCCGCTCGTGAGGTAGTCGAGCTCGTGATGTGGCCTAATCTATTAGTGGCGCTCTTTAACTCAGCGGAGCAAGCCCCCGCGCTACCGCCGGTGCCCGGGGCGTGGCCACTGCAAAGGCTAGTGGGGCAGTCATGGATGTGGACCTCCACGATCCGGTGCACGCCCAAGCCGGAGGAGGAGCGCCAAGAGGAGCAGCAAAACGCGCCAGCTACGCCACCACGCGCACCGGCGGGCGTAGCCACACCAGGAGCGTGCCCATGTCCATGGGAACCTCCTGTGTACATCAACCTCGTCGAGGACAAGGACAAAGACGACGAGCATTAGATCTTGGTTTTTTAGTTATTATGTTTTTAGTTTAATTAATGCAACGGACATACTTTGGGATGGCGCGTTGGGCGCACTGGCAGGCCTGAGGACACATGCGAACTTTTGATGTCTGGCTGGCCACTCAAACGAACAAAAAACAGACACATTTTGTGTCTGTTTTGATCGGCCTGTTGGCCTAGCCATCCAAATGGACAAAAACGTAAGTTGAAAGAACAAGATTACAATCTTAGGAGTAACAGTGAAATCAAATGATAGAATAAACCATTGCGATGGACAGAATGAAATCCAATGCTATCTGTAAACAAACAAAAAATGAATCGAAAGATGAATATGTCGAAGACGATCAATTTGTGATGCGAAGAATGATGACATGAGCCTGCGGGGTGACAGAACATGACAAACTGAATAAGATCCATAGAAGAAAATTGAATAGAGAAATAACATGATCAAAGGATTGAAGGGGAGAGCACACATGAAGCAAAAGTGGAGAGCACATAAAAGTCAGGTCGAAACCAGTGCATCGAGAAACAAGGTGGTGAACAGTAACAATGGCTGGCTCGAATACGATAGGAAAAAGGAACCGATTGATAAGATCATACAAGAAAGTGAACAGGACAGAAAGATGCACCATCCGTACAAAATCAGGGACGTAGAGGAACACTTGAACGAAGTATTCATATAAGATAAGATAAATATGTATATTGTCTCGTATTGAATCGTTTTCCAGGCAATTTTCGCTGAAACAATTTCTCGGATCACATCGCAAACCAACGGCTCTAGACGGATGCACAGGTGCTGGTCCCTGCGAATGTTCATGGAATTTTTCCTTTTCTCCTTTCAAAACTCAAGCGGATAAGGATTGGAGATCGGATAAGAGCAGCGGCCGTCCCCTGCTGCGCTGTAATTTAAAGTGCAAGTAGCTTGTACTCGCATGCTTTTCCGATCAACTTTTGTCCGGTGGGTGCATGCATGCTTTTGGATCGACCGACTGTCTTCAGTTGTTGCACACTAATAAAACCCTTTGATTATGGTGGCTCCGCGGTTTGCCCCGGATTAGGTAGCACTGCTGCTTCAGCATGCACGATATATACTATGATCCTAATATATATGTTCAGTAGTAGATCTACTTACTTTATGTACGTGGGCACAGCTTTGCCAAAATCTTCATTAAGCTACAGCTGGCCCTGGGGGTTATACAAATCGGGGCTGCTCGTTGATCATTGCCCGGCCCTGCACTGTACCCGCCGCTGCCGTCCACCAAACGACAGTACTGTTCTGCTGTCCGATGGAAGCTGCGGAGCGAACAATACTGAGAGCACGTAGCCAGACAGAGGGCATACTGAGAGCACGTAGCCAGTCAGAGGACAGTGCAGATGAAGATATTTTGTTTTTCTTCACGAGGAGATTAGAAGATTTGTTAACCATGTATCATCAGCCATGCAAGGGGAAGTGGATTTCCTGCTAATGGAGAAGAAAATACAGCTCTAATAATGATTGTCTGTATCTAGCGATTGCTCTTTGGCACAAGCACCTAGTCGATTAAAGCATGTCAGCACACCGTCCGAAAAGTGAAAAACCCTCGAGACTGTTTAGAAGTTGCACTTTTGGGGGTTTTGAATCTCGGTTTCAGCAATATTTTTGGCGTAGGTGAAAGGTGATATTACTGATTTTCACTGAATTTAGAAGTTTTTTTTTTTAATTTCGGCCAAGGGACCAGAATTTTCACTTGGATTTGATTGAAATCCAACCTTTTTAAAAAAAAAAAATTGGATATACTTTAGACATTATTTGAATTTGTGTAGACTGATGAAATATTCTGACCGAAACCAACGTTACTGAAATTTCGATAATTTTTACTGAAAGTGAAAACCATATTCTCGCTACCAATTCGGGGGCTGGTTCCACTCAAATAAACTAAAACTGGGGGCTGGTTTTCCAGGTACATGTGCCGTAGGGCCGTCTGTGCATCTTTGATGTATTCCCAAAAATAATTCACACAAATAGAATACATTCACCATGGACTTGGATATGAATATGATGGGAATAGTACTTCAAACGAGTGAGATATATTTATTTCTTAGGTGAAAAACGAGTGAGATATATAGATAGCATGCACATATAAAATGTTCAAGTTAAATTACCACATACAAATACAAGGAATTTACAATGCAAAGTACACTTGGCCCCAGCTACTAAAAACCATCCGGGACTCGATCCATCACATCTTTACACTGACATACATACATGCAGAAAAAGAAGAGGGTACATGCCCACGCTGTCACGCATGCGCAATCGTACGTACGTGCATGTATATACATGATGATGTAACTGCTACACATTCGTGCACACGACGTATTCCTGTCCCCCGACACACGCATGCCAGCCATGGACAAGCAAGCATGCATGCGCCGTACGTTGCGTGCGCACGGTCACCCGTCCAAGCAATCATGGAATCCATCTCCGGCAGGCCCCGCCGGACAATGCCGTCGTGGCTAGGTAACTTCGTCGGCTCGCCGATCACGCGGCGGCTTCCTGGAGGTGGTACGGGAGCAGGCCGATGTGGTTCTGGCGGCGCAGCTGGGCGTAGAAGCGGGCGATGAACTCCTCCGCCTCGTCGTCCACTGCCTCGCCCAGGCCCAGCTGGTCGCCGTCGACCTCGTCGGACGAGAAGTTGGAGACACGAACCGAGAACCCGCCGTCCGCCGCGCCGGGCACCAGCGGCGACATCCCCGCCGGCGTGCATTCCTCCCCGAGCGCGAGCTCGGACTCCTCGTGCATCATCATCAGCGCCCCGGGCGACGACGGCGCCGGGGACGCGGCGGCCGCGTTGGCATAGTACTCGATCATGTGCCGCGGGGGTGTGGCGGGGTCGGCGCGGAGGCGGCCGGGCTCGTCGGCGTCGGCGTCCGCGGCGCCCAGGCAGGGGAAGGCGAGGCGGCGCATGGAGAAGGAGCCCGGGTCGGGGCTGTCGCCGCAGGAGAACTCGTACTCGCGGCGGCGGAGCGCGCGGCCGTGGTGACCGCCGTGGTGGTGGTGGTGGTGGGAGAGGAGGTTGGCGACGGAGCGCGCGACGGCCTTGTTGCGGCGCTTCATGAGGAGGTGCGCGCCGAGGAGCAGCTTGCGCTTGCCCTTGCGCATCATGAAGAAGACGGCGCGAAGGTAGCCCCACATCCTCCTCGCCGCCACCGGCGCCGAGTGCACGTCCATGTCGTCGTACCACCTTCCCCTCCACTCAAGCCTGTCTGTGTCGCTGTGTCCCTGACTCTCTGGTCGCTCGTGTGTGTGGTCGTCGTCGTCGGCGGCGATGGATTGCAATGTGGAGTTGGGCGGTGGTGGTGGTGCCGGTATATATAGGCACGGGAGGTGAAAGGGAGGAGGAAGGAATGGCGGCTTCGCTTAGCCAGGAAGGCAGGGGAGAAAACAGGTCCGGGTCCGGGGAGTTGGACGTTCGGATAATAATAAGATTTTGGTTAGGTGGCGCCTTGGCTTGGCTCGGCTGCTTCTTCTTCTTCCTCGCTCGCTTTTCTTTCCTCCTTTTGCGCTCGCGTGCTCCACCGATCCACTCGCGCTGCCCAACTTGGGAAGGTGGGGAAGGGCGGGCCGTGCCGTTGCCGGGCGGTGGGGGGCAAAGCAATGCCCAAGCAGGGGATCGATCGCACAAGCACAAATGCCTTCTTCTCTTCGCTATCCTTCTGACCGAGCTCCTTGGTTCAGACAAGTTCAGACTGCTGGTAGATTACTTACTACATACACATGCACCGTTTACTGTGGGTCCCACCAGTCAAGTGTGCTGGCTACGTATCTATCTTTGGATGAATGTTTCGTTAATTACTTTCGGTAAGAATTAATCCTTCAAGCAGAGACCAACCCCAACAGAAGAAACAACTGCATGCTATCACTACAGTGTCACACTGAGCGCGTGTGAAGATGCGCAAAACAGAGCGCAGGGCATCACATGCCCCCATGGTTGTTCGTGTGAGATCTCCTCCCCATCCCCTACGTACGTGTCCGGATGGCCACAACATCTACTCCTATCCATTGATGCACATCCATAAGGATTAATCAGGACCATAAAGGGCTACCATGCACGATACGGCCAATGATCGTGGCCATTTTTCCTCTCTGGTGATCCTGTGCCCCAACTTTTCAACGCAATAATGCGAGGGCTAGGCACCGGAAAAAGTGTGCGTGGGTACGTGCCTCGGATTAGAGATGGGCCGGACCGCAGCGATGTTCACCACGGCAGCCGCGTGTCGTCCCGGCCGTGTTTCCTTAGCCCGGGGGGTGGCGGTTTGACGTGCAACTCCGGCCACAAAAGTGGCCGCCACGAGCATGCGGTATATCTCAACACAAACATACATGCTCAACACGTCCTTCTCAGGGGCCGGACCACAACATGGAAAGGCAAGCTAGCACCGAGAACAACGTGCAGCCGGAACCACAACTTGCTCACACCCACTTACTTCCATTCACGGATAAAGTATTACTCTACTTATTAAAAGATCTCCTAACCTTTTTTCTTTACCCGCAAAAAAAAGAACCTTTTTTCTTTAACGAAAAAAAGGATCTCCTAAAATATTTTTCTTGGATAAAAAAGAGATCTCCTAACCTATGGACCATAAACCCTAGGCTCGGCACCACTAGAAACTGATCTAGAGAAAAGAGAGAGATGTGGCACAAGATTCAGCC